TCCCATCCCAGCTGCCCCTTTTTGCAGCTGCTTCCAGGGCTTCTACCCTTTGGGCCACGTGTCTGGTGCTGGTGACCATCCGTCGGCGGCCCCCTGGTGTGGCCCGAGGTGATGGCCGGTGGCTTTCGTCCCCTTTGCTGAGGGGATCAGGGCTCTCATAACCATCACTGCCTGCCTGCTCAGCGGGGATCTCGGTCCCCACATCTCCTGCTTGCAGGGACAGCTTGGATGGCCCCCAAAGGGCTTTTGGCTTCCGCCCAGGGCTGGGGGTCTCCGCTGTGCTGAATTTCGTCCCCTCAGCAAAGGAGACAGAGGGCCGCTTGGCCTTGGCGATGCTGGAGGTGCGGGGAATGGTGAAGGGCTGCGAGACATCCTCAGAGCTGAAGGCGGTGGGGTCAGGGAGCGCCTCGCTGGGGGGGGACACCCCGGCCTGCAGCTCGGCCCCTGACAGCAGTGGGACCCCTGTGGGACAAGGAGCGGGTGTTAACCCCCAGGGGTGGGGGCACGGGCAGCCCTTGGCCTTGGGGATGGGGATTAGGGCTCAGGGATGAGGATGCTGGTGCCATAGGGTTGCCTCCAGGAGCGCATTAGGAAATGGGGCTGCAGGGCACATCACGCTGCATGAGGCCAAGTATGGCCTTGGCTCGTCCTTGTGGAGGGGAAAATGAGGGAACGAAAATAACAGCCTGGGCTGAGTGCATATCCTTGGAAAGCACAAGGGCTGTGGGGAGGGGGACTGTGCAGCAGGGAGGGGATATGGAGCCATGTGTCACCTTCTCTGGGAGGGACGGAATACTCTGGCCCTTCGTTGTCGGTGTCGAAGGAGGAGAAGGAGCTGTCTGAAGCCCATGCAGCTGATGGAGACTCGATGAAGCTGGGGTTGAAGGGGATTTCTGCATCGTGGTGGGAAACTGGGGAGGAGATAACAAGTAGTTGAGGTCTGGTGGCCATGCAGAGGGGCCTGGCAGGCTCCATGCCACAAAACAGGGCTGGCAGCAGGTCTGCTTTCTCACCTGTGACTTTGGGAAGCTTGGAGCTGTTGAGGGTGAAGCAAGGCATCATAGCACTGATATTGGCCAGCACGCCCTGCACGTGGTGTTTCATCCTGGCCACCACGTCGTCATCCGGCACGGCCGCCCTGTGTGGGGATGTGGCATGAAGGGGAGAAGGGGAAAAAAGGTTTGGCAGCGAAGGGGAATACCTGCACTGATACCTGTCTCTGGCATCCGCAGGGCCAGCACCGCAGCAGCAGCAAGCAACACAAAGCAGCAGCAGGAGGAGAGGGATGAGGATGGCAGCAGCCAGAGCTGCGTGGTCTGTCAGACCTATGTGGGGAAGATGGGATCAGTGTGTTCATGGATGGATCCACCGCAGCATCCCTGTCCCTGGTGAGGCTGTCATGGACCCTCACCCGGCACCAAGGAGTGAATTTAGGGCTGCTCTTACTCAATATGCAGTTGCCCTGTGCAGGGTGGCAGGTTCCTCGTGAGCACTGGCAAGGAGAGGAACAGTTCACCCCAAAAAAGCCCTCTGGGCAGGTGTCGTTACAGCTGAAAGAGAGAGGAAAGGAGGAGAAATGCCCCCAGGACCAGCAGCTCCCAGCCCTGCTCCCCATTTTACCTGGCTCCCCAGTAGCCAGCCTGGCAGAGGCAGTCACCCGACACAGGATCACAGTTTCCCCAGACACACTCAGGGCACAGCAGCTGGCATCCATCACCAAACGTCCCTGCAGGGCAGGAGCTGTTACAGCTGATGGGAGAGAGAGAGATGTCACCAGGACCCCCATCACCAGCACCAATGCCCACATTCTGCCCCTACCTGCTGGGTTACCTGGGTCCTGTCCAGCCAGGCTCACAGCGTGGGCAGGAACCGGTCTCTGCATCACAGATGTCCCCTTGCCGGCAGTGTGGGCAGGGCTGGAGGCAGCCTTGGCCATAGAAGCCAGGTGTGCAGCGTTCCTTGCACAGGGTCCCATTCCAGCCAGGCTGGCACTCCAGGCAGAAGCCATCCACAGATGAACAGGGCTGGTTGTGCTTGCAGTTCCCACAGCTGTGTGGTCACAGGGGCAGTGAGGCCTCGACACCCCCCCCCAAACACAGTTCTCCCCCCACAGTTGCATTCAGTAGCACTTGGGTTTCTGAGAAGATTCCTGACGGCATTTAAGGTTCTATTATAACCCCAGGGCAGAAGCCTAGCAGGGATAAACACTGTACTATTGCTCTAGGGATGGTGCTAGGATTTTAGGATGATGCCAGAGCCCTCCTTTGGCGTTAGCAGGATGCTTCTTAGTGGCAACACCAATGCTGCAACCGCTCACGGCTCTTAACCCCCCACCTCCAGATGCATCTTCCTGCACAGCCAAAGGGATGGATGCAACCACACCGACCCCCACCCCGTGTCCCTGCTCACCTGTGCACGCACTGGGACCCATACGTCCCTGCTGGGCAGGGGTCCTGGCAGCTCCTGCCCTGGAAACCTGGCTCACAGCTGCAATGCCCATTGAGAGGGTTGCAGGAACCACGCAGACAGTCGCAGTGCCACTGGCACGCCGACCCCCAAAAACCAGCCTTGCATTTGCAATTGCCCGTCTCCTGGGCGCAGGGTGAGAGGTTGCAGGAGCACTTGAATCTGCATTTCCTTCCCCACCAGCCCAGCCGGCAATGGCAGTGCCCGGTGAGAGGGTCGCAGCGCGAGGTGGCGAGGTTGCACTGGCACTGCTTCTTGCAGTCAGGACCCCACCAGCCCGGCTCACAGCGGCAGGCTCCAGTCGTGGGGTCACAACGGCCGTGGGGGCCGCAGGGGCAGCGGAACTGGCACAGCTCTCCCCAGCGCTCGGGGTTGCAGGTGCAGCGCCCGCTCTCCGCCTCGCACGTCCCACCGGGGTGGCACAGACAGCGCCGCTTGCAGTCGTGACCCCAGTACTGCGCAGGGCAGGCTGGGGAAGGAAGGAGATAACAGTAAGGAGATGACGAGGAAGCCCCCAGCACCCAGGGCAGGCTGCTAGGAGGGGGGCGAAGCACTCACGGGAGCTGCAATCTGCACCAAAGAAGCCGGGTTTGCAGCGGCACATCCCAGGTCTCACGCACACTTCTTCCGGCCCGCAGGCTTCCTCCCCTTCGCAGAGTGCTGTGGCAGCAGGGTTGGCATGTCACAGAATCACAGAATCACAGAATTGTAGGGGTTGGAAGGGACATCCAGAGATCATCGAGTCCAACCCCCCTGCCAAAGCAGGTTCCATGTCACCGGGTGGGACCCCACCAGCCCATCCACTGCGGGGTCTCCCCCGTTCTCACCACCAGCACCAAGAGCACTCGGGGCTCCCTGCAACGCTGCAGGGTGGGCAGCGAGGAGGAGAAACGTGGGGATGAAGATTTTAGGGGACAAAGATTTCAAGTGTCGCCCATCGCTTACCAGCTGTGCACTCCCGCCCTTCCTGCTTCCAGCCGGGGCAGCACGCCAGGTTCACGGCAAGGCTGTGGGACAGAGTGGGGCACATCAGCCATTGCCCAGGGCTGGGGACATTGCCTTCAGCTTCAGGGCTTTCAAAAAGAAGCTGAAGACGAATGATCTCCTCAGGCTCGGCCTCACACACGGGGAAGCCATGAGGCTGCGGGGGCTCGCTCAGGAAGGAAGCCAGCAAAATAGAAGGAAATTTAAGTCGTTGCTGAGCTTCAGGGCTGGGTTCTGGAGCAGCAGTGCTTAATACTGCTGCCACTGCAGCTACAGAGCCCAAATGGATCCCCCAGTGTTTTGGGAGAGCTTTGCTAGTACCTAAAAACACTGACACAAATGCGTTGGCGCTGATGGAGATCAACGAGAGAGGAAACACAGCGATAAAGCAGCACGGCCATCTGCCCCAAACACCATTTAGGATTTGCTTCCATTTTGCATTTCTCACGGCGTTAATGGTGATAGCATTACCAACATTCCCACGTTCCCCCATTGTCCCCAGGCTCTCCTGGAAACAACCCCACGGAGAAGGGATTTGGGTGCCCAGAGCCCCCAACATCGCTGTGCTCCCTGTGCCCATGAGCTGCTGGGCTCCACCCACAGAAGGACACACGGAGGATCCCACCTCACTCTACCTGAAGGCCCAGGGACAGAGGGGATGCAGAGTCACCTACCTGCCCACCTTGCAGACATTCCTGCCGTTGGGGTCGAGCTCCTGGGCAGAGCTGTGCACCCACAGCCACAGCTGCAGGCAGAGCAGCAGGCGGGTGCTTGCCATCCCGCCAGGGCAGCAGCGTCTGTCCATCCGTCTGTCCGTCTGTGGGTTTCTCTCCTGTGGCTCAGCCTCTTCCTCCCACCAGCCTTGGTTTCTTCCTGAGGAAACGCGGGAGGAGGCGTCCCAGCCCCACGCCAGGGGTGCAGGGGGAAGGAGGAGGCAGGGAATGCCACAGCCTTGTCTGTTCCTGACCTTTGCTGCCAAGGGAATGCACGGCACAGGGCTCAGCCCCCTCACACAGGGAACAGCACCCACCGGGCACTGCCCCATGGCCCACCCAACTGCCCCCTGAGGCTGTTTGAGCCCATGTCCTTCATGTCCCCCAGGCATCCACCTGCCCTCTGCTATCCACCCCAGGGCACAGCCAAGCCCTCTTCTGCAGTCCTGGTCCAGGATGGAATTCGGTGTCCCCCAGGAACGCAGCGTGCCCTGGGTTGGCCTAAATCCAGGCAGGCTCCAGGACCTGCTGCCGCTGCTGGCTCCATCCCACTGCACGTCCCACAGGAGCTTTGTGTCAGCAGATGCACAGGAAACACCTTTTTCCTTCCTGAGCACAGCCAGCCAGGGTTTCCCCGTATGGGATTTAACTCACGCGCCTCCAACGCTGTGCCCCAGTGGCCCCAATTCCCACCATGGGTCATTAGGAGCACCCAGAGCCTCTGTCCCCAGCCCAGCTCTGTGTATGGGCTATGGCACAACCACAGCTGTGCTGGGGAAGAGCCCCCACAGCCCACAAAGCTGCTTGCCGGGCTCCTTCCAACACAAAGACAGAGCAGAGGTTGCAGTGGGCACCTCGTCAGAGAAACAAGAGCCCAGTTTATTTTTGACTCCAGTCCCAGAGCTGGGAAGCACCTGATCCATGCGGATAGCTGTGCTCCCGTAAACACGAAGATTGCTGAACTTTTCCAATTTCCAGAAGCAGGAACAAGTCCCAGCACAAAACCAATTCACCCCACATTCAAAATGTGTTCCCAAAGGCCACCCAGCCCTCACCAGTGCATGCTCAGCCCGGCATGGGGAAAACAGGGCAGCACCCAGACAGCTCTTCATCTTCACATTGCAGGGATGGGGAGATGTTGGGAAGGGATGATGTGAAACCCCCACGTAGGGCAGGATGGGGCAAGGTGCCTGGAGGTGCCGAGCTGCTCTGTGCCAGCTGAGCATCCCAGCCGTGCACCACGCTGTGCTCTGTGGCTCCCGGTGACGCCACGGTCAGATCCAACAGGGTCAGAGTGCTGGTGTGCCTCGGTCTGGTTTGTGCTCTCCCATCTGCTCCTGCTGTGTGTCCAGTGAGTCGATGATTTCCCAGGCTCCGGAGCAGCTGGGCACGGGAGGGTCTTTGCTGCTGCCTTGATACCATAACCCAAAGCTGTGGAGAGAGCAGATAGCAGGCGTGGGGGAGAGGAGCCTTTCTAGGGAGCAGCTGCATCCCATCCTCCCTCCATGTGCACAGCTATGTGGCAGCCCCAAGGAAAGGCACATCCCCAGGATCCAAGCACATCCGTTCTGCAGCAGTGCCCTGGCACTGAGCTCAGCAGGCATCGGGCACACAGCTGAGCCAAAAATCTCCACCCCACCAGCACCTGAGTGTGGGATGGAACTTACAAGCTCCTGATTTTGGATTCTGGAGGCGGAGCATCCACACAGTCTGCACCTCGAGCCGGGAGCCAGGAGCCTTCCTCTTCGTCGCTGCAGCACAGAGTGGGAACAAAACCCAGGCTGAGTGCTGTGCTCCCCAATCCCTCACCATCTGCTGCTTCCCAAAGCCACTGCTTTGTTCCCAGCCCACAGACTTCTTCTCAGAAGGCAGCTCCAAAGCCCAACACTTGCTCAGCAGCTGCTTTGTCCCAAGTGGCCGCAGCAGCAGAAGCCACAGCCCACGCTGCAGTCTGTGGGCACCCAGCCCTGGCACACTGCTCAGGGAACTGTGGCTGCTGCCATTGCTTTGAGGCTGCAATAGGGCATCCCCAGCCCTGCAGAGATGCCAGGGCTGTGCTTGAGCTCAGCCTCAGGGGTACCATCAGCAACACCAGCTGCAGCATGGGGTGATGCTGGGGACAGACCTGCAAACAGCAGGATGGCACCCCAAAAGATGGCAGGGAAGGAGCTCATAGAGCAGAAGCCACGCTGGGTGGGCAGGTGGTGAGCAGTGTCTCAGACTTCTGGGCATACAAGGGCACAGCTCCCACCAACGTGCTGAGGCTGCACAAGGAAAAAACAAGCTGTGCTGACTGGGGGAAACCCCTGCTCTCCTGAAAATCTTGTTCTGCCTCTCCCACAGCTCTCATAAAAGGTTTGGGCAGGTGAGGAGGATCCATCCCTATCCTAACCAGCCCAGACCGGCAAGTCCCAGCCATGAGCGTGGCCAAGCAAACCTGCCCTGCTTGCTCCAAGCAGCACCGACAGCAGAGCCAGGACCACTGCGGGCTGGGATGTGGCCTCAGCTCCAGCCACAGATCTGCTCCAGGCCGCACAGCCCCCCCTGCACCCCAATGCAAGCAGCAGCTGCAGGAGGTTGGAATAGCATAGAAGAGCTCAGCCCTCTTGAGACCTTTATTAAAGCCCACGCAGAGCAGTGGGATACAGCTCCGCTTCCCCTCCTGGTGCTGAGCAGATCTGGAACAAATGCTACCCAAAGTTGTCTTGCAGGGAACATCCCCAGTGCTATTTCCACAGCTCACAGACTATGTGCCCCATCACCTTTCCTCCCCACTGTCATATCCGTACAAGGAAGAGCAGCACACATGGAGCAGGCATGTGACATGTGACAATGATGTGAAAGCATCAGCAAAGAGCCCAGCCCCGCAGCACCAGGCCAGGGCACCCAGCACAGGCATTGAACCTTTGCCCTCTGGCGGGAGGGCAGGGACAAGGCCAGAGCCCAGGGCTGATCTCTCACAGGTGCCACAGTGCACGGAAGCACCAGGGGCAGCGTGCAGGAGGTTCCAAAGCTGCCTTCAGCTCAACTCACCTACTCGCTGACTCCTCCGCCGTCCCCAGCATCTTGGCTCTGATTTTTCTTCTCTGCTTTTTGATTGTCGACTTCATTGCATCCAGGAAGAAGCTGGGGATTCTCTCTTCGTTCAGCAGCTCCCTGGAACAGAGAGCCCACGGGTTAGCTGAGAGCTTTGCAAGTAAATGCTGCCTGGGGCTGCCAGGAGCACTCTGATGGGTCATAAGGTGCTACAGGGACAGGAGGGACGTGGCTCTTGGAGGGCTCACCGCTGGTAATAGGCCAACTCCTCCTGCACCAGGAACAGGTTGGTCTTCAGCTCGTTCCGCTCCTGCAGGATCTGCTGCAGCTCTTCCATGGAGAAGCAGCACTGAGCCGGGCTCCTGCTCGCATCCTGGCACGGCGGCTCCTCTGCAGGCAGCGGTGCTGCTCCTTCCTGAGGATGGGCAGCATGAGGGGCGAGCGCAGCCCCCAGAGCCGCACTCTGGCAGCCCCAGGTCCCCCAGCTCACCTGGCTGGGCTGTGGCAGCGGTGCCTCGGGGGCAGCCCTGCTCCTCCTGCTCATTTCCCTCTGGGTTTGCAGCACAGTGGCCTCCAGGTCCGACTTCTTCTCCAGAGCGCTCTTGAGCTGCGCCTGCACCACGGCCACTTTGTGCCGCAGCTCCTCGTTCATGGACATGAAGCGGTGCAGCTGCTCCTGCAGCTGAAAATGCAGTGACAACCAGGAGTGAGGCACAGCAGCGCTGCTTGGCCACCACCCAGGACCTCAGCGCAGTGTGGGAATGGCATCTGCCCCAGCGGGATCACGAGTAGCAACATCAGCCCCAGGGGAGGTGACATGAAAGCAGGTCCCCAGGCACTCACCGCCTCCGTGTCTCGGCTCTTGCAGACGATCTCATGAGCCTGGGCACGAAGCTCATCCCTCTGCTTGTCCACCACCTCCTTCAGCCGCAGCATCACCTCTCGTTCCTTCCGCACCGTGCTGTCTGTGCCCAGAATGGGGGAAGGAGTGTGAGCGGCTCCAGGGACCCAACGACATCCACGGGATGCCTGTCCCTACCACCCTCCTGTCACCTCCTGGGATCTCAACTCATGCCAACGTTATTCTGCCCCAAAACCTATGGGAGTCTTGAGGACTCCATGGCTTGCAGAAGGCAGCGCTCCCATGGGGACAGGCGGCGGTGGGAGAGCACCCCAAGCTCACCAGACACCCACCTTCCTGGTGGTGGCTCTCTGCCAGCTGCCCCAGGAGCTGCTGGTTCTGCTCCTCCAGCTGGGCCAGGCGGCCTCGCAGGGCTCGCTCCCGGCGCTCGGCCTCCCACAGCCTCTGCTCCAGGTCCTGGGGGACAGGGACAGCCGGGTCAGGGCCAGGCTCGGGGGGCTGGCGACAGCTTGGTGTGAGCCGCGCCAAGGAACGAGGGACAGTCAGCTCTAAGCCAACCCCAAGGGACGGCACTGCCCCCAAGGACACCGCCACGAGGATAAACGCCGCCAAGGAAGGAGGGCCACGCCAGGCACTTGCCCGCAGGGACGCGGCAGAGGAAGGCACCGGGGACAGCCCTCCGCTCCCAGCATCGCCCCGCTCACCTCCGCATCCTGCTGCTCGGCCAGCAGCGCCTCACCCTCGGAGCCCACCGGCGCCACCAACGCCTCCAACAGCTCCAGCAACCGCACAACCGGCGGCACCAATCCGGCCACGGCGTCGGGTCCAAAGCGGCCCGAGAGACGGCGCAGTTCGGCGCCCAACGCCTCCGCCATGCGGTAGACGTGCGGCGGGGCCAGGCGGCCCGGAGGCGTTCGCCACAGCGGCTCCGTGCCCTGCGCTGGCTCCGCCATCGGCCCCGCCGCCACCGGACGTGGCCCCGTGAATGCTCCGCCCCGTCCCGCCCCGTCCGGAGCCGCCCCGACGAGGCGGGCGCCGTCCCACCGACCTCCATAGGCAGCAGCGTTCAGCTTTGTAAAAAATTTATTAAGCCACTCTAAGACGGTACAACCAACGGGACGTGGCGGCTGGGACAGATAGGGGGCAACGGAGCCGTGAGCACGCGAAGGGGGGCACGAAAAGCAGGAGAGGATGTTGAATATCAACAGTACTAAGAGTTGTCGGGGTGGCAGGATCAGGCATAGAGGTCCTCCCTGTCGGCGGAGTAAACCTCCCCCTCCTGCAGCAGGGCGAAGTTGAGGAAGTGAGAAGGACGATGGACCTCGTGGTAAAACTCCTTGGGGTTGGCGAGCTGCAGCTCGTACTTCATGTTGGGGTCGTGGCGAACACCTGGAAAAGAGTTCACATGTGAGCCAGCACCCCAGGTCCCTTCCAACTCGGGATATTCTATGATTCTTCATCCACCTGGAAGCTCCTCCTGCCCTCGCCGCCCATCAGGAGCTTAATGGAGCCCTCTACACTCGTGAGAGAATTTTAAAGCAGAACAGCTTAAGCAGGAAGTTTCAAACCCACAAAATCATCACACACTGCGTTCCACAGCTCCTCCCCTCAGAGATTCAGAAGCAGTGACCCCATGATCCGTTCTGGTAGAGGAAGTCGAGCATTTTGTCTGCCCATCTCTTCATTTCCTGATCCCCTCTGCAGCTGGCTGTGGTTCACCACGCTGGTGTACTCATTCCAGGACCCCCACTACCCTCCCCTGCTGGGCACAGCTTTTCTTTTGCATTTTCCATTATCATCTCTTCTTCCTGACAGACATTAATTATTCAGTGGCAATTTACCAGACACTACAATCCAGCAACAGAAGATGATCTCAGGTCTGATTTTTGCTCTCTTGCTGTCTCAAATCATTAAGAACTGACATCCCTGTACGGCCACCAAGGGAAGGTCAGACTACAATGCTAATATAACCCTGCCAGTTACTTAGAGAAGGTCAAGCTTCAGGCACATAAGGAATGCTCCCCTCAAAGAGCTATTTCCTTCTCCTCCCCCAAGCTATTCAGGCTGCCTCCCTTCCTGCCCCTTCCCTGGGCAGTCAGCTCACCCATGAAGTTGTAGTTCCAGGATCCCTGTGCTGGAACCATGAAGAAGCCGAGGAATCGATCTGACAGCAGCATCTGCACCCTCTCATAATGGGATGGCAGGTAGCCCTTGGGGTTGTTCCCTTTGTCTGTGTTCTGCCTGCCCCACTCGTAGCCACTTGGGGTCAGTTTGTAGGCTGTCAGTGTGCAGGAACCTGGTGTAAAACTGAAGGAGGGCAGAGAGCCGGTGGGGGTCACGTTAATTTGAGACGGAGGAAAAGAAGAAACGAGTAAACAGACCCTTTCTGCCACGTTTTTAGACCTTAGTGTGTTCCCAAGAAGGGAACGCAGCACAGAAGCCCTGCTGCCTCTCACCTGCAGGTGATGATGATAGTTTTCTCTCCATCCCAGGAGGGGTTGTCAGCCATGACTTTGGCATGGGTGGTGACATCCTGCGGCGACAGCTGCGGGGACTCATTGGGTTGGGTATGAATCCACCCCAGAGGTTCCATTTCCTACAGAATGGAAAGTGAAAATCATTCACTCAACAAGAAGAAACTGAAAGCCACGAGAAAGGTTTATGAGTGCTTAAGCACAGTACAAAGTACACAGGGACTAAAGGCTTCGCCCTTTCACCTGATCCCAGATCAGGCAGACTTCAGAGGCGAGTTTCTGAGGCAAACACACTGGAGCTGAGTGGCAGCAAGACTCCCCTGTCACCTGGATCTGTTATGGAAGTGATGACCTTCCACCCTCCCTGGGAGCAGAAGCTCAACTCACCTTGAGGTATTCGTGCTGAGGCAGCTGCCCTGGGAGATGCACAGTCTGGTGCGTTCCCCACTGGGGTACCATCACAATGCACCGGATCTCCTTCACTTGGGGATTATCAGGAGGACTCACTCCATAAAGGTAACCTGCAATCTAGGAACACAAACAAACACCCACTTTACAAGCCTAGAAGAGACCTCCTATAACCGTGTGAGAGTTGGTGGGCAAGACCTCAGGTCCTAAAGCAAGTTTCTCTTGCCCAGCAGCTCCTCACTAGAGTAAGGTTACATCATAGTTATGTTATGTTCTGGACTGAAAGCTCTTCGGGCCACCTGAATCTGGCCTAAAGAAGCCTTTTCGACCTGGAATGCACTCAGCCACAGAATGGATGCCTATCTCCAGCCCAGAAATAGCAGCAAGCTCCCAGCCTTTCACCACAAGGCCCTGGGAGCTGCCTGCCCAGGACTGGTGCATGCACAAGCTGCACAGACACCCTAACAGCCTTGATGCACACTCACCTGGGCTCGCAGATCTGAGATGCAGATGAATTTCTTCAACACATTCTTGGGAAGAATGTATGTATAGCCTGTTTCCTTTATGTCATCTGATGAAACATAAATGTGGTTTGTTCTCAGGTGGAGATTGGCAGCGGAAATCGCTCTGTGAAGAAAAGGAGATGATTGTAACAGGGCCCACAGATCTCACCTTTTCCAACTGTGCAACAGCTCTGTCCTCCCTCCTACCTGACTCGCCACTCAGTCTTGGAGGAGAAAGTCTGGGTTTCGTAGTTGCTGGTTGTGGAGGTGATGATTTCATCCCCATGTTTGTTAACAGTGCGGGTCTGTGTGGCTGTCAGCTGCGACTGCTCCTTGGTTTGCTTCTCAATTTCTGCAATCTGCTGTCTCTGCTGAGAGGGGGCAGAGATCTCCATGCCCAGGATGATGTCTCGGATCTCTGATTGCGTTAGGGATGCAACGTTCACACTGAAAGAGAAAACCCATCGTGTCAGCACACATCAGATCCATCTCACAAATACAAAAGCTCAGAAGGCACTACAGAAAAATGAAACAGAGACTTTTTAGGACAAGCAGAAGGGCAAGAAAAAAAAAATCACATGATACAAAGATAAGGAAAGGCTGATGGGGTTCTGCAGCAGGACAGTAGCTTACTTGTTCTTCTTGCCATAGTCAGCAAGGATCAGATCTTTCAGCTGCACCTCCACCTTGATCCACTCCTCATCTGTCAGGGTTGGCCAGATGTGGTGAGGCTCTGTTATGGTTGTCTTGTCCGGTTTCAGAATAACTTTGGCTCTGTCATTATTCACATGCAGTGCTCGGAGAATGAGAATCAGACGTGAGAATGCCTTGGAGAGAAAACAAAACAAAAGATGCAGCTTGTCAGAAAGAGAGCAGTGTACTTGGTTTTCTTCCATCACACCACTCTTCTGCTTGGGTGCAATGAGAGCACGTGAGAATTGTCAGTAAATCAATGTGAAGAAGAATTCAGGCAGACCAAGAGCTAGCTCTCTGGAGCAAACATGGGAGGACTTCTGAAACCTTGGCTCTTATTTTGTGCCTGTGGGAAAGCAAAGTGCAGGTTACGCATGACATCCTCACCGTGTAGGAAGAGATGGTTTTCAGCCAGTCATCGTAGAGATTGAAGAGAACCATCTGAGGTTCAGTAGCCTTCAGGATGAGATCACCAAACTTCTCCACTTTCAGGCAGGCCTGGAAAGGCAGCTGCAACTCGGAGCCTTTGATCACAATATTGGGGAAATCCAGCAGGTGCACCTGGAGTTCATTGAGAAGAGGAACTAATTCACAACCAGTGCAGAACATCAGTCCAGATTAAGCCCTTCCCAGGAACACAGAACTGTTCTGCAACCTCACGAAGATTTTATAATGTCCCTGCATTGCACTGTGTGCTTTGTTACCTCAAGTGGGTCCAGCATGCCCTTTCGAGTCACTATGATCTGCTTAGGCTGCTCCTCCACAGGAAGTGAGCGGATCAAGGCAGCCACCTCTTCAGCAGTCTTCCATTTGGCCAGCTACAAAGAGACAGTTGGGTTAGAAAAACATCTCTCAGCTAACAGCAAAGTCTTCACACCTCTTGGAATCAGAGACTCCCAAACCAAATTCTAAAAATACAACATAAATTTATGGTTTCAGAACGGTGACAAGGCCTAACATTTCCCTCTCAGTGAACACAGAGGGCAGTTCCCATTCCTGGAGTTCAGTTACTCCTGACTGGCTTGCAAAAACAGCTGATTACACCACCTCCCTGGCTTCAGCACCTCAGTCCTTGCACTGCACAGGATGTTCGGCCAAGAGCAATGTGATTTGCTGTACCAGTGAGCACAGCACCATTTCTCAAGTGCTGCTTGACACAGGCTCTTTACAGCTCAAAAACATCACAACATCAGTGTCTGCATTCTTACACTTTACCTCATGCTACTGGTTGCCAGAGCACAGGTTATGCACTAGCAGCAGGGGCTCCAAACTTGTTTCAAGGCAGGAAGAAAGACCTTCAGCAATGCTTTCTGCTCAACTGAGTATTCCAAAACATCAGTGCACGTCCCTGCCTCACTGCCAAAAGCACAAAAAGCAGCCAGGTCCCACCTGCCCGAGACGCTTCTGTCCTGCCCACACAGATGTGTGGATGATCTTCAGGAAGAGCTGCCCGGTCCTGGGGTTGAAGATGAAAATGGCTCCATTGATAGGTTTTGTGGTCAAATTCCCTTCAAAAGTCTGAGAAAATATGAAGTGGAAAGTACAGTGAGATGAATGCAGCCTATCCAAGCGTTTACACAACAGCTGACTTGTTAAACTACGCTGGAAATGCAAGGACTGCTCTGTGCAAACTGCAGAAGATTTGGGTGCACGTTAATTCCTGGTTTTCCCTCAGGCACACCTCCTCAACCATCCTGAGCCAAGGACATTTACAGCCCCTATCCTTCCCCCTTAAGATGCAGCTCTGGCCTTACCTTGTGAATGGTCACTCTGTACACATTGGTGTCGTCCACAAACCAGATGATCTGGTTGGAGAAGAGCTCCCCATAGTTCTGAGAGGAAAGGTAGGGTTCTGTGGGCTCAGATGAGTACAGCTGCAAGCCCTTGCGGATTCGTTCTCTCAGCACATACAGTG